CAAAATGTAAATATAAAAAGTTCACGTAGTAATGATAACCTATCTATCAATATCTATTCTATTCTTTGTATGTTTTTACAGTTGGCAATTGTAGGAATTATGATCAGTAAGAAAAGAAAGAAGAACGATAGGAAAAGGCGGGCAGAAAAGAAGAAAACGACAAAAAAAAAAATGAAATTGATTTCTTCTAGCATTTACAAATGCTGTTGTTCTTTTTGATCACGTCATTATACACAACTAATGATTTGAAATTTCTTTTTTTTTATTTTTTACTTTTATATTAAACAAATCGAACATTATCTTTTATATAATTGATAAACGATAGGTCACATAAGATTTGATAGATGTTTAGTAAATATCAATTGAATTATTTGTTATCTATTGGCGATGATAATGATGTTGATAATTCTCGTATTGACATAAAAGAGACTCGTCATGGATCAAAAAAGAATATATTTCCTATCGATGCGATAGATATACATTATAATAATTGAGTTGTTTACACCTTCAAAATTCTTTCTGATTAAATTTCTTATAAAACTAGTCAATCGAGATAAAATAATTTCGTGTCGATTTTCACCTGTAATCACATAAATATCTATCGAATTAGATTACATTTTTTTTTTTTGTCATGCATTTATCTATATTATTTTCATCAATCATTTCTTTTGCATGAATTAAATCTTAAATCTATATTTCCATATTTTATTTTTATCATAAGTTTGACAACTTTTTTTTTTTGTTACGAGATTTGTCGACATGACAACTTAAATAAAAACTTTTCCTTTGATCATATATTGATAAGTTTATATATATATATAAAATGACTATTTCATACAATTGTTGATCATGTTTTCATAAATATTTTTGTTTTTTTTCGTAGTACATGTCTTATGAGTAAAAAAATCGAAGATTAAAGAAATGTTAAAGCAAAAAAAAAGAAGAGATATGCTCATAACTTTTGTTTTTTATTAATCTATTGAGGTATATCCAATAACTGTTGTTTAGTATTGAGAATATAGATCATTTTTTTTTCTTATGATAGATCAAATGATACCCTTCAGGCATTTTAAGATGATGATGATGATTATGAGAATTTTCCTTCCTGCTGTTCATGTCTTATAAATCGATTTGTCTCGTAAGAAATAAATATAATATTATCGAAATAAACCGAATAATATTCAAATTCAATTAATCAATAATGAAAAATTGATCATAAACATATTTCTTATAAACAGAATATTACTATTATCCTCTTGTTTTTAATTTTTAGAAGATTTTGCAAGATAAAATTTTACAAAAACTATATTAATTATTCGATTCTATAATCATCAAAAGACAATTTAAATTTATCTATATCAAAGAAATTGAAAATATCATTGAAAGAAGAAAAAGAAAAGAAAAGAAACTTTCTCGATATAGAATTAAAGTCTTGAGGAGTTCATACGAATGAATATAATAACTTATTTTGAAAAAACATCACGTTTGATAACCAAATGAGACATCTTATAATAAAACATAGAAAAAAAAAGTCACATACAAGTACTTTAAGTAGAAATAGAAAAACAAACTATATGTAAATCATTATATTTACCATAGTTCGAAATAATTCAATACACGTTTTATTATGTGATTATCAATAGTTATCCAATGAATATTTGAAGAAAATCGAAAAAAAAAAAAAACAATAAGTGCTGAATAATATTATTGAAGATTCAGGTCACTATCATACTTCACAGTACCTTTTCTATTCATTTATTAGAAAAACAAAATTCAATTTACTCGTGAGTTTTTTTTTCTTCTTATCGTAGATTACATGGAAATGAGAAAATGTAATGATTATGGAAAAATATTTTCAAAGAACATCGACATATTCATATCCGGATGTATTTTTGTTGGAAATTCAAAATGATACATATTTCGAAAAGGAGAATCGATAAAGTGTCTTCATATTTCAATTTAAGTTTTCTCTCAAAAAAAATTTTCGCGACTTCACCTACAGTCAATTGAGTCATGCGCCTCTTCCCTTTCGAAATCTTGAACATCCCTAAGACTAATTATTCCAATAGAAGAAGATCGTGAATTATTCTTTTTTTAAATTATTTGACCAAAGTATAATCTTTTTATCTTATATTATTTACTTAAGACAAATATTCAATGTAATTATCTATTTTTCTAATAGACAAACAATCTTATCTTTACGAATATATAATTTATTTAATTTCATATCATCTATTAACGACATCTGTAAAAAAAATAATAATTTTTGCAAATTTTCTTCGTTTTATTTAAAAACTATGAAATAAATTTCTTTTTATTAATATTTAAAAATAGAGATTAAATTTAAATAAAATAAAATAAAAAATTTGATTGGTAATAACATAATATCAAAGAAATAAATGAATAAATGAAGGACAATACTTTCTATTGGATTGGCCATATTGTTCTTTCATTCATTTTCTTCACAATTACAACTATTCAATGACCTAAATATTATTCTTTTTTTTCTTTTTTTTTAATATTATTATAAAAATTATACAATTTTTTGTTTGTTTTCTTATTTTAAGAAAATTAATTAAAAAAGAATAAAAAAAAAACAAAACAAAAGATGGATATCGGCGCTGATAAATTGCGTCGTGAAATTCAAATTATTCTTAAAGATGCTGATTTAAATACATTATCATCAAAAAAAGTTCGACAAATGCTTGAAGCTTTATTTAAATGTGATTTTACTGAACGTAAAAAAGAAATTGATGATATACTTATGTCTGAAATAACAAAACGAGATACAACACAAACAAATAATGATGAACAAGATGATAATGATGATGCACAAATAGATACATCTGATGATGAAAAACCAGCACCAACACAAACAAAAAAAAAGAAAAAACAACAACGTCGAAGCCAGATAAATAATAATAATAATCAACAAACAACTAAATCTGATGAAGAACTTGCTATGGAAATTCATCAACAAGAAAATCGTCCTAGTCTTAGACATTCAAGACCAATTGTAAGTTTTTATTTTATATAAAACAATATATCTATCATACGATATATTATATCGGATAATGGTTTAGCTGGTGTTCCACTAAAGTTACATAGTGGAACACCAGCTAAACCAATACGATTATATCGTCTAATAGTAGTATGATATTTTTTTCCTACTAATTATAGTTCTAGACAGAAGAGTTGAGTTTTCTATATACAAAAATTAATCGTAAGAGCAATGTAATTAGTTTACCCTATGAGACAATTAATTCAAGATTAATAGCTATTGTTGATTTGTCTAGATTTATTTTAAGATTATTGATACGTTATATTATGAATATACGTCATATAATGTAGTTACTCAGCCATGATGACATAAAGAAAAATTACTTAAAACAATGGTAGAGTTAAAGATAGACAAATTCTATTTTGAAATATGAAAAAAGTTGATTTTTTTTTTTTGAATTCATATTAATCATTCAAAGTAAATCTAGAATGAAAGGTCCTTGTCTTTAATTTTAAAATTTAAAACATTAGGTTTTATGAAAGAGATTTTTAAATAATTTATGATTTTCTATTTCATATTATTAAATTTTCTTAGAATAATATTTTTGTTTTTTTTGATATTATAAAAGAAAAAATTTTGTATCAAATACAACTATAATTATGATTGATATAAATCTATGTTGACAGATTATATATATGTTGTCCTTCATAGAGTCAATGCAATCTATAAATGATTCATTTTTTTTTAAATAAATTAATATTTAATTTAGAAAACAAATTTAATAACAACGAAAAAATCAACAACAACAAAATCTGAACGACGAAAAACTTCCTATAATAAAGAATTAGATTTAAGTGATCAATTAGCTAGTATTGTTGGTGGAAATCAGGTTTATATATTATTATTATTATTTTAGTTTTTTGTGTTTTAAATTTAATTATTTTTTTAGATGCCACGATCAGAAGTTGTTAAACGAATGTGGGCTTATTTTAAACAACATAATTTATTAGTAAATTTTTTTTTTTTTCAAAAAACTTTATTTTTTGTCTTTTTTTTTTCCAAGGATCCAAATAATAAACAATATGTTAATTGTGATGAAACACTTACAAAATTATTTGGTAAAAAAATTTTTTTTTTTGACAAAAAAAAAATCAAAAATTTTTTTGATATTTAGGTCGTAAACGTATTCGTGCATTTGGTATGCTCAAAGATTTAACAAAACATATGAGTGATCCAGATAAACAATAGACTTTAAATTCAGACATATTTTTCTTCTTTTTTTTTGTCACTGTGATATAGTTAATATCTTTTTTTTTTTTTGCCAAGCATCATTAACTCAAAAAAAAAAAGATCAAAGTCAAACCAATCTTTGTTTAGTTCTTCCAAGATCATCACTTCATATATATATATATATATATATACATACTAGATTTCTGTTCTTTTCTTTTGTTATTGTTGTTATTTGTTTTCTTTGTGGTGCCCGCTAAATATGTCTCGCTTGTTTGTTTTGTAGAACTGATTTCATTGTAGGGTTTCATATATGTATGTGTTTGTATATATACATAAAACAAAAACATATTAAACATGTTCGTTTATTCTATTCATTATGATTTTCTTTTTTTTTTTTTTTTTTTTTTTTTGTTGGAGATTGAAGAGAAAAAGATAAAGGAAAGTTTTAGTATAGAAGAAGAAAAAAAGAAAATTTTGTTTTTTTTTTATCATTAATGAAATGTATTCAAAATAAAAGATAAATTGAAGATCGAATAAATAA